GACTCTGTCTTGTTTGTGTTTTCTTGCATTTTATTGGATGTGCGAGGTTCAAGCTTGAAGCCAAGCAGGATCTGCCATGTAGCTGGATTCCTAATCAGGCTGAAGCATGCAGTAAAATTCTACATATGTAAGAACTACGAGTGATATAACCTACTTCTGTTATTTATTTTACTACAAAAATCTTTTTAATATTAAAATATATGTTGACTTTCAGTTTCAGTAAAACATCTATAACAAACCCTGATGCTTGCCCCAAACGGTTCACAGTGGCTTGTACTGATTTTTCTTCCACTTTTGCAGGTACTAGATGTTGCTTGCTTTTGCTTGTATGATAAGAAGGCAGATGTTTGATAGTTTGTGTAGGTCATCACCAGGAAAAATGCCCATTCCCATAAGTGGGAGATATTCATGATCACATAGGTTATTTTAAGCTGCCTCATACAGTACTTCACATGATAAAATACTTGGTCCAACTGTGGTTCTTTCTCTTCCTGACTTCCTTGAATGTAATCTGTTTGGGCTTGACTCTCTTGAGTAGATTGTGCCCATTCGCAAGTGGTTGGATAGCACTAAAGGAAATCTTGATTCCTTCTTTTCATGTTTTCCTTCACTTTATGTAGTTTTAGAATGCCAGGGTTGAAATACTGAAGTATTTCATCAGCTTTTCTGTTTTACATCTTTAAACTGGTGACTACAGCTATGCCATCTCCAGAAACTGTGTGATTCTCTTTTGCTTCCGGATCCAGCTCAAAATTCTCATCATCTTATGTAAGAGCAGCTTCTCAGGTATCTTGTTGCCTCTTCTTTTTCATTACACTTTTATTTTGGACCTGGTTCTTTGGGTACTGTTAGGTCATGATTTGAGAGGTTTCTAAAATTCCATCAGCTCCATAATTTTCAGCTGTTACAAGAAAATGCATTCTCCTTTTCCTGTAAAATTAGGAAATAATGGAAAAAAAAAAACCCAAAAAACCTGAAGGCAGACACTCATTTGTTTACCAGCTTTAGGAATTAGAGCTTGAAGGTCTTCGTTGTGAAATTCAGAGCTTCTCCTTTCTGCAGTACTTCCAAGTACATCAGTACACATTTTTCATTAATGAAATAAAATATTTTGAATTTTCCTTGTTTGTAAGTGAAACCCAATATGCTTGAGCTGTGCAATTCATCTGCACGTGCATTGCAGTATGTGGGCAGTGGGGTTAGCTGACACAGGGATGCTATTCTGTGAGTAAAAAGAAACCGTTTGTATCCGACTAGGAAGATACCACAGCGCATTTGATAATAAGATCACACCTTTCAGCCTTATCGAGATATGTTTCTGCACCCAAAAAAGGTTTTATTAACAAGGTAATACGTATAATGTCTCTTCTTAAAATCAGAACATTGGCTTTACTTCATTTAGCACATTTGTCAAATATCAAGAGCCAAAATCATTACGTTCTGATGACTAAGTAGATTAAACGATAGTACTATTTAACTTACATTTGCTATTGTATGGTTGCAATTTCAGTTCCCGGGTGGCTTATGTCTCTTGTCATTGCCTGGAAGGAAAACTAATCATCTGTCCTTAGCAATGTATAGGACTTTGAAAAATCAACAAAGTAACTTTTTTTTGCTCACCAGTCACATTTTCTTCATGCATGAACAACGATACTGCATTCAATTTCATTGCATTTGACATTCTAAGTATAAAAAGTGTCTCTCAACAAGGTGATGTGACATGATGAAAACTTGCAGAAGTGACTGGAAAATCTCTCTTGTGCCATTTCCATCATTTTTTTTTGTAGGAGAGTCTATTCCTTTTCCTGTTGTCAGTTTTATCTCTTTTTCTTTGAACAAACTGGTTTTCTTTGCCGTTCTTGTATCACTCCATCTTTTGAGGATCTCTTTATGTACAAAATCCTAAATAAAAGCTGTCATTTATTCCTGAAGAGCAGGTGGAATAAATGTTGCAGTATTTTCATTTCCTTCCCTAATTGCCCCACAGAAAATTAATACATTTCCTTTTCTATTTGTCCCACAGCAGATTACTCCCGATGATAATAAGAATTACAAGGAAGTTTGATGTCTGGTTTGCTCTTTTCTCTGGAACATTTCTATTCGATATTACCCTTTTCAAATACTGCGTTTTCTTAGGATTAGTCTTTTAATGTGCCAAATATTTGCTGAATTACTACTGAAGAATTTTGGTGTTGAGGAAGGGGAGAAACAGTGGTAAAAACATACAAAAATTGTACAGGTTTGTTGACATAAATCCTCTGGTTGAACTTGATGAATTACGGCTGACTAAACAAGTTTGTGGCTGTTCATTTACATGGATTAAAGAGCCTAAATCGAATGTAGTGGCTGCTGAGCGGCATCAGCCACGTGAAGTTTTGTTCTGAGTTTGCCGTCAGTGTGTACTGGGTTGTGTTTAGTATCTACATGTAGATATACACTCTGAACCTTAAAAAAATCCATTTAAAATTCTTGACTGGGGAAACTGCCATCATCCATGTGTTTAACATGAAACTATATGTGAAGAAATCATTCCTTTTAAAAGGTATATATATCCATTGTAATATGCACATTTATAATCAACTCAGGACTTAGAAGAAAAGATAGTAATTTTATGGGTTTTCTGTTGGAATCTGCTTGTAGTTTATGTTTCCTAACAGATATCTGCTTCCTAGCAGATACAGTAATGACTACATGTGCTTTTTTTTTTTTTTTTGATGTGTGTTTGTCAGCTGCCCAAATATGTTAAAAAACCTCTCTGTGGAACTGTGCAACTAACACAGCTCTCCAGCAAAGCAGCTATTGCCATGCGTTTTTCTTCCTTTGGCTGAGAACACTGTTTTGTTTTTTTCAGTCAAAATAAAGTGCCTGTTTCTGTGTTGAATTTACCCACATGCTTTAGATTTATATAACCAGCTGGCAGAGGAGCAGTTCAGCAGTCAGTTTAACAGATGACAATAGTAGCAGTTGATAGAGAGAATTTCTACATGACTACATTGGAGAGAAGCTGAGTAGATTTGAAAAGCATTGTAAGAAAGGGTTTAACTGAGAGTGCTCAATTTGCCGTTTTTCTACCCTTTATGCCTATGGTGAGGTTTTAAGTAAAGTCTCTGTAGTAGTTTCTATCTAAAGGTTATGCCTTTTCATTCTAGTACATATCAGGTGGGGAGATCCAGAGTTAGACTAGGTGAAGAAAGTAAGACCCAAAATTCAGATGTTTTTTATTTTACTACTTTGCCTTCCTTCAAGAAAGGTATCCTTTTCTCTGTGGCATTCTGTGAGTAAGGATATAAACAAGTTTGGCACTTAATCTGCATGAAGTAAAAAATGCTATAAACATTGTTTTGATAAGTTAAACACTCATAAATATTGCAAAAGGTTTGCATTTAAAAGATCTATAAACAAATGGAACAGCAGTGCATGTCTTAAGTGATGGAAGGAGTGTTATTTGCTTTTCATGATCTAAGCAAACATTCATGTGGCTAAATTCAAAATTTATTTGTTTCTTCCCCAAGTATATTTTGTTTGGTATTATTTTATACTCTTTATTGTGTTACAAAGACAGGGAAATGTGTTATTTAAAAAACTAACAAACAGGATGAACAGTTGTTCTAGCCATGTGCCCATTCATGTTTTACCTTTCAGCAAACTAGTTAAGTACTGAGCAATGGGAGCTAAAATTCCAACTCACGTGAATTCTGCACTTCAATAAGCCCAAAGCCACAAATAATTTAGGAATCCTCCTACCATAGAAAGTCTGGACTTTATTTTCTCTCTCCTGATTGTGCCTGTCTCTATCCTACGGGATAGACTACTGAAACATGTCAAGAAATGAAAGATCTGTGCATCATCACGATTTGGATGTAATGCGCTCTGAAACTCATAGTAACCAGCCCCTCGAGAACAGAACTAAATTAAAATAAACGAACAAAAGCTTTCCTTATGAGTGTATGTAAAGCCCATACAAGGAGCCCCATAAGTGAAAATGAATTTTATATGTATAAGGTCTATTTTATACAGGTAGTGGGAAGTGTTTGACTATTTTAACTGGAGACGCTTGTTTAGAGACTTTCACTTGTGTTACTATTGCATAAGGATTTGTTCCAATATGCTGTAATATTTAACAGTCTATAATTTTAGTATACAGTAATGGCTTTCAAGTAATAAAATGTTCAGATTGCTTTGTACCACACTTCATTTTCAGCCTATGTCCATTATAGAAACTCAGCTATTTTGTCTAGAAAGAAAATTAATGAGGCATTTTGCTTGATCAGTAATTTAAAGTAACTGCAAAGCTATATTATTGAATAATTAAATCTATTTAAGATAGAGGTGCAATCTGGACTAAGTTTTCTTAAACACCTACATTTAGTTTTAGGAAATGACTGAGGAGTTTGCATCTCATTGAAATTCAAAAGGCTCATTACCCATCCAATTAAAAAAAAATGTTTCTTAATATTGGTTTGAGAAATGTGTGCTTTATTTTTATAAAAGCACCTAGCTATGCACATATCCCAAAGCACATCTGTAGGCTATTCATTTTCAGAGTTTTGTAAAAACACATATTTTAAAATATCCTATGTATTTTGTTGATTTGTCCTCTTTCCAATGTAGTCATCCCGTCACATTTTTCTTCCTTCTGTTTTCTTCCTTCTATGATAATTCAGTAGATACATTAGTGGAATTCTTTGCTCTGCATTTAGAGTTCTGATGCAACACAGAAATATGATTGTGTAGAAAATAATTTGTATTATTCTAATCAAATGACTATTCAGCCATTCAAACTCATTAGTTGTACATCTTTTTTCCAAGTTGATTTATTTCATTGATGCACTTCACTGAAACGTACTGTAGGCACTGATCTTATGGAATACAAATTACCATTACATTATTAGAAGCAAACTAAAGTGATTTTTTAAATGAAACTTTTATTACAAATCACCATATTAAGGAGGGGAAAACAAAATAATGAAGAAATTGAAACAGTGACTTTTTTTTTGCAGGATCTTTCATGTTAGTGAATACATCTGGGAGATTCGCTGGACAGAAAGCTCACCTGCTGCTGCCTCATCTAAAGGAAAATGATACACATTGTATTGATTTCCACTACTACATTTCAAGCAAGAGTGGATCTAGCCCTGGCACTTTGAATGTATATGTGAAAGTCAACGATGGCCCTCTTGGTAACCCAGTCTGGAACACATCTACCACTGGTACTTGGAACAGAGCAGAACTGGCAATTAGCACCTTTTGGCCTAACTTCTATCAGGTATGTTTTACTTTTTATGAAACTCTGGTTCTCTTAATAGGCACCAGGTTCTTAATCAGCATTTTGGCTTTCAACCAAGACAGGATGTTCAGCATGCTGCGCTGATCTTTGTCTGAACTATATTCTTTCAGATGATGCCAAATGTCTGTTTTTATATATAATAACTATGCAGATGTCTGTATATGTATACATACATTTATCAAAGTGTATGAGATGTATGTATACAGACACACACAAACATGCTTTATATGTAGATGAAATAATAATGTTTAATCAATGTAGAAATTTTACCATTGAGTTCAGTCAATTACCTCTGTTTTTCTATAATGAATTTACTCATACATTCAGTTTATTAGGGACGCTGGAATTGAATGCCAATAGATTTTGTTCAGGTTTGATTTAAGTCAGCAATACTTGTTGCTTTGGAAGCAGCAGCTCTTTCTTTGAATCCTCATACCGAGTCCTCCGTTTGAATGTCGTTTTCATTTGTTCTGTCCAACGTTAATCATAAACATAAGAGGAGGTATGATAGGGATGTTCCTGTGATTACATCCTAAAGATTTAGTGAGAATTTCATCTGGCAGTTCCTTAGGATGCCACTTTTCTGTAGGAAAGTTTACAGATCATACAGTCTTTTAGTACTCTATAGTAGTCTCCATTTGGTCTCCACTGCTGACCATTGCCACTGAGCATATGGTTTGAAGCTTTCTGAAAAGAGCTACCCCAAAACAGGGATTCTTTGACTGCAGATCTCCCAAGGAAGTCCAGCGTTGTCCCTTCACAGTACTCTGTGTGCATCCCAAACAGAGGATGACAGCATAAATACATACATGCGGATGTCCCGCAGTGAGTTTGTCTGGTGCCCTGATCACTGGTATCACACATGGCAGAGCCTTGTTTCTGTTCCTGCTTGTGCTGTTAGAGTGACCATGGTGGTTGCTGACCACTCTGTGCTCTCACTGTGTGTTTAGCAATGTTGTAGGGGTTGTAGAGGACCTCCTTCCATGGCTGCAGCATCTGCTGTGTGAGGACATCTCACATTGCCACAGCCAGTTATCATGAAGATGTTGCTGAGGATCCGCTTCATGGACATCTCAGCAGGCCTCACTGAGAACACTTGTAATATATGAATGTCCCCAGGGCTCAGTGAGGGTACTGTCCCCTCTAGCAGAACACTCTGTCCCTGATTGGCTGTATCGCTGCCTGGCGTGTGCGATGGAAATGTAGCACACCTCTGTACCAGCAGGCATCCCAGGTGGGTGATTATGAAGGAAGGTGTATAGGCCATGGCAATCTCACGAATTGCATGTGCTGGCCTGAACTGAGTGGCCAACAAAACAGATTTGTGGCAGGCACTGATGGAGACATTACGCTACAAGGCTTTTCCGTGCTTTGGAGACACTTGAAACAACAGGAGATTCCCTGTTTTCGAGTTTTCACTTTAGGTTCTGTGAAAGGAGTGTGGATCGCGTGCAACAGAATGACCCAAAGCAGCACTCAGTAAATACAGACAATCAAAGGATGTGCCACAAAGCCTCACTATAGCTCTGAAACAAAATAGTGGTCAGAGGAATTTTGACAGAAGCAGCCTTGAGTCTCTTTACCTAATAAGTTGAAGCTAAATTTATATTTTGATACATTATAGGCAAGTCCAGACAGCTTTAAATGTGTTATCAATGTTAATAATAATGTGTCAGATTTTTAACAGCGTGATGCCTCTAACTGATGTCTGAAGAATATGGATATTTGCCCATAGAAGTACAAGGATAACCTTCCTGTTTCACTTCTCCTTAGAGAGCTAAAATCTGGGCTGTTCACCCATATTTGCAGGTTCAGATTCTTGGATGTGGTACTGCAATTTATCAAATTACCATGCATCAGCTGACATGTAATAGACACCTGTGTCTTTCTGTAATGGACACCATGTACTGTCTCTTAGTCCTTTCAAATAGAGATATTTTGACATAATCTGTCCTTTTTCCACTGAGGACTACAGTAAATCATTTTCTCTGCATTTGCTGCGGACAATTTTAGATGATATCTGAGTAGTTACTGCAATATAGCTGATGTGCAAAATGGCACATGCTTTAGTAATATGCTTGGGTGTCAAAGAAATCAGCATAGAACAGTAAAGGTCCACTCATTTAAATGTAAATAAGCAAATTCTTGAGGAAGCTCTGTCTCCATATTGGCACTTTCGATCATCTCCATTTCGGTGGCCTCTGTTCTCTCAGAAATTTCTAGTGCGAGAGGGAGAGACTGGATCTCGCAAGAGCGTGTGCCCAAGAGCTCGGATTGCTGAGTATGTGGGTGGGAGAAACGAGAAGACCCTTCTGACACCAGCTCTGCTTCTCAGCTCCTATCCTTTTGGCTACAAAACCACTAGGTGTTTGGAGGGAAACCCATGTTTTTCTCACATCATCTCTAGAATCTACAGGACTTTCTTCTAGGGGTTTTCTGAGGCAACATGCCTTTATTGAAAAAAATCAGGAAGAAAATCTGCTGAGAAGGCTCTTTAAGAAATGCTAAGAGCCTTCCTAACATTTCATATGTAAAAGTCGGCAGTTTACTGATGAATAATCTTCAGGAAAATACTCTGCATTAGTAGATGAAGGGACCAAAAAATGTAATTGTGTGATTTGCTTTGTTTTGTTTTAAATTGCATATCTCTTTAGGCATCTGCATGCCCATGACTGCCTTATAATTCCGTTCCATTTGTAGGACACTTGCAAGGTGACTAGCTGAAAATAAAAACAAAATATATTACAAAACCCTTAAGACAAATTACATGATAAGATTTCCAAGCTACAATATTATACAATTCGGGATGCTTAAAAACATAGAGGTGTTAGTCTGTTTTCCTGTTGATTCATGAGAAAATAGGTACACTAACTCCCGCTAATGGTAGCTGAATAGAAATTAGGCTGTGTAGTGTGGAGTGAATCTGATTTTAATCCAACATCTGAAGATTTGTTTGTTTAAACCACATGCTATTAACACATACGTGCGAAGCATTCAAAAGATTTAATAATTATCAGATATTATTGTAGCAACATAGTTATTCAAGTTTATTAATACCTTTCATGTTGAATTTTCATTTAGATTGACTCTTTAGAAGTATAGGCTCTGAGAAAAGTAATTATTTTCTTTTAGTGTACACTTTTCTTTTTACTAGGTAATTACTTGCGTAGTTTTACCCTATACAGAAGCAGTACCAGATGTATAAATCACAATGATAACCTGCATGTAACAACACTAATAGTTCTTTAATTACTGCTCATTTAAACTTCAATTTTTGTGTGTTCTGGTGACTGAGATATATTTAATTCGTTAATTAATGATCTTCTAAGTGGTGCTACTTAACATCTGACTTTGGCTTTAGGGTACATCTACATTACGGTCCAGCTACTGGTTACAGCAGAGTTGCAGTAACATAGATTGACGCAGCCAAACATTTTGTGACGAGCAGGGATAATCAGCCCAGCTTGTTCTTATCTGCTCTGGCTCCTGTTTTCTGGGCTGTTTGTTTCAAAGGATCTTGGATATCCCTACAGGAACCTGTCGTATGTTTGCATTAGAGAATCTCCCTTTAGGAGAGCCCCCCTATGGGATCACAAAACAAGGGCCTTCAGCCTCCTCCTTATTTAAAGAGAATGAGGATGAAGACAGAAATTGAGGATTAAACACTATGTAGATTTCTATGGGTTGTGGTGAGCTTGTGAGGTTCGTGGGGAGAAGTCACTGTGGGTTGAAAGGATCTTATTTGTTTTCCCCTCTCTTTTTAATGTTTTGATTATTTTCTAATTTGCAGCCTTTACCAAGAGCGAAAAAAACCTTTGGGTTCAGGAGTTTTTTTGTTTTGTTTTGGGTTTTCTGATTTTCTCAGGTTACTTAGTGATTCCCGGAGCAACTGACAATATTTGAGGCACACATTATTATTTGAAGCATTGGCAGTTTCAGAACTCAGCAGCATGGGAAGCATCAGCCCCGAGCGGAGTGTGGCGCGGGGCGAGCGCTGCCGGCTCCTCCCTGCAAGCCGGCCGGCTGGCACAGCCCCACTGCAAGGCACGCTCTGTCCCGACCACGTTTTACAGTTTGAATTACTCGCTTTGTAACTTGCTGGGGGTCACACATAGCAGCAGTGAGCTGAAACAAATCTTGATTAAATAAAGCAACAAACACTGCAGTTTTAAAATCCAGCAATGGAACTGGGAGAGTTAAAAATACCTTCCACTGAGTAGGCTACTGACTGTGCCCTGCAACTTCTTTAAACATAATTTCCTATGTAACTGGGATGAGAAAATAGGCTGAGAGCTTGGTAGTAACTCCAGCATCCTTTTTTTAGTGAGGACACAAAGGAGTTGGATGGTATCACTTCACCCTAAGATGAGATTTACTCTTTACCATTCTGACACTTTACCTTGTAAATTAGGAGTTTAGGGAATAAGAAGCAGGAGATCCAAGCTACCTTTTCAAGTCTCGGCATAGATTTTCCTCTGTAACCTGTTCTGTATGCGCTGTGCCCAGCGTTGGGCTCACGCCGTGCGCCGGAGTCCTCCGGAAGGGCAAGGAAGGGAGTTTGTGGCGCGCCGTGGCCGCCCGCACTCGACCGCCTTTCTGGCGGCATCCGGCACCCGAAGGAGCCTTAGGGACGTGGGACGTTTTAGCCACTGCCAAACCCTCGCCTCGTGTGCCTTGGCAATGGCTGCTTTGACAAAGATGTGCCAGCGTAGGCAGCCTATCTGTGTTTTTTTTTTTAAAAAAAGGGGATGTACAAATGCCCAAGGGCAATCGAGTGTGTGCCTTTTGGGATGCTCTCTGGGTGCAGGGCCCTGTTACAGGGGAGGGCCCAAGGAAAGAAACTCCATTACGGGATGCGCGGGAGGCTATTCCCTCATGTCTGCGGGTTACCTCATACCCTTTTCTCTTCATTCCCAGCGTGCTATATTGAGCCGTGTGAAGTTGGCAGTGTTTATACTGGGTGCAGTCCGCCTGTTGAC